CACTCAAAGGAATTTTTCCTACACATCCCTCAATATACTGATACTGATACGAATTATCACTGCAACCAGGGGTACCGAAGGAATCGTTATCCACCAAATTTTTCTCCAAACCCAGAAACATAAATGTGCATTGAAGTAAGTGAAGGCTTTTACTAATGAGAAGCAGACTTTGAGCATGTACTCGATATGTCAAAAATTAAAACACTTTTATTGTTTGTTGAAATTCCTATAACAACTCAATATAACCACCGCCAAAGCAAAAATGAGCCACTAACTTCATTGGCGGCTAAACACTATGAGGCTATTGGTCAGCCTGGAAGTAGAGCCAATTACAATCGCGATATCTGTGTTTTGAGCATTTGGAAACAGCCAGCCTGTTTCGTATATCACAAAAAATGCGGGGACTACTGAGGACATCGGGTTGGATTTACCAACTCTCTCCTAAAATAACTACAATTGGCCAAACTTGCTGCGATATTATTATTGACGTTCGAGCTTTTTGTTTTATCAATTTTTATATTCTTAGAATAAAACGCTGGACACCCAACATGCAATAATTACTTATGACTCGGAACTTGAATGCTTCATACTAAGGGATTTAAATACGAAATATGTATGTTTTGGAATTTTGAGTTATTCATTAAGGGTTCATTTGTGAACGACATATGTATACGTAACGGGGAAATTCGGCTAACAGAAGGGGACAAAATTCGATTTGCCGATTCATCAACAACGTATGAATTTCGTACTTCGGAGGTAATTGCAATGAAGAATTTTTGGGTGTTCCTGTTTACCTGCGCAGCATACATTAATGAACATTTTTTGTAGGAGTGTGGTAATTTTGATCACCAAGTCGTTGAGTCCCCTTTCTGCGTCCCAGTTGGCGGCCGTGGGTTTATTGAGCCAGTGTGTACCCAGGTGGGCCTTCCGCCCATTACACCTTCTGTTAGGAAACAAAGGCAATTTGGTTCTAATCCACAGTGTGGGAAACCCTCGGGCGACGTCGCTCCTGGGAAAAGCAGCACCGAATCTACCCTTCGAAAATTATGCCGCCCAAATAGCAAATCCTCCTATCCACCCTCAGAAACGCCCAGACCCTTATCGGTAATACCATATTATTATAAACTAGTGATAGCGGCCACAAACTACGTCCCGCCTGTCGTGGACACAGCTGGACTTTTCTGGTTTTGGCACCGATGATCCGAGAAATATTCAGCAGATTGAAAGGCCGAACAGTAAGATTTTCCTCTTGGTCCTCAATGCAGTGTCAGTATTAAGGACTTTTTGCTTATCTTTATCTATAAT